TCTCACTCTACCGGGCTACACACAGCTGATTCAGACACTACAGGATTTGTGCATATCGACACCACTTGCATCAAACTACCCACCCTACACAGGCCCTGAAAATTCCGACAGATCTATCACCTTAGCAGAACTAGACTGGGCCTTGGCACAAAACAAAACAAAATATCAGCTCCCGGGGAGGATGGTGTTACGTACACGCTGTATACTTCGCAACCTCCCCGAGGAGGAAAAAGAACAACTTCTAGCTCCCATCAATACACACTGGTCGGAGGGCACCTTACCCCAAGAGTGGAAATCCTCTTATCACTATGATACCTAAGCCGGGAAAACTCCACTCACTCAGCAAACTTCGCCCAATTTCCTTTACTTGCGTGGGAAAGACGATAGAGCGAATGGTCCTGGACCGCTACCAGGACCATCTGGAAGCCATCGCGTTTTATCCGCATACACTAATCAGATTCCGCCACCACGTATCTACCCAAGGCCTCTTTCTCATCATTCAGCATACCATTCTATCGCCATCTTCTGCTCAAGCGCCCGCCTTCGTCACTATTGATGTTCGTAAAGCATTCGATTACGTCGGCCACGACCACTTACTCCCCTCACTTCGAGCAACAAGCTGCGGACGCAAGCTATACACATACACCATCAAGTTCCTCAGAAATCGCACAGCCAGATTTTGTATAGCTGATGAGACGACCCCATCAATCACGCTCACACGCAGCACCTCACAAGGGGCGGTACTTTCCCCTACCTTATTTAATCGCGGCATAGCCCAGGTGGCAGGACGCCTCCAACAAATCGCCACGTGTCAGATATCTTCTACGCGGGCGATCTCACCCTCTGGTGCATCCACGGGTCACTTCGAGAAGTGGTGTCAACTCTGCAGCAGGGACTAAACATCATTAGTAAATACCTCATACAAACGGGCCTTCAACCTGACCCCGACAAATCCGAACAGCTTCGTCTTGCGGATACCCAGTATCAGCGCTCTGTTAATCATCACATATCTCTACATATCTGCCAAAACCCCATCCCCGAGAGTCCCCTCACGTAAAAATCCAGGCATACATTAACAGGAGAGGACACACCGTGCAAACTTCAATTCAGCCATAAACACACGCCACTCGGTTACTTGCCTGGCACGCAGATTGGTCAAGAAGCATGCAGCGAGCAAACTAGTTCACGCATTAGCGCTAAATAAGAATCTATTCTATAGCAAATTTTACACACACACACCAACAACTCACCAAACTGCAGCATTGAACACCCTAGGCAAGGCCTCCCTGAACCTCTCTCAATCCACCCCCAAACAGAAACTCTACGATACGGGACTATTTCCCCCCCCCCCCCCCCCCCCCCTCATCTCTCTTCTGCACCTACATCGGTATCGACAAATAGCCGGCCTCTCGGAAACACCGCAGAGTAGATAGATCCTTGAGCAGGCAGGACTTTCTCCCATTGACCTTCCCCTACATATACCTACCCAACCCTCAAACCTGCGCTTTGCCCCCGCACCTCGCCACATGTCCCCGGGGGCGGACATAGACGATGGACGCCGGAGGGCGCACGCTAGCCATCACAACCCATCCTTTCACACACAAATCATAGCTTATTCTGATGCGTCCGTCTTGGAGACAGGAGCCACGGGAACTGGGGCATACGCAAGCTACACACCACAATCCCCAACCTCCCAAGTTGACACCAGCGGTCCATATAGCAGCCTCCCCAATGCCATCACACTAGAATTCGTTCCCCATCATACACGCTATACAAAATTTTAAAGCTAATCACTTGACAGAAATCTGCCTGGTAGGGTAAAAACTTCGAAAATTAAAGAAACTCGAACCAATTCTAAAAAAACTAGGCGCCCCTAGTTTTTACGGATTGGTTGGAGTTTCTTTAACTTTTTATACAAGATTTTGTCCAACTGACTCGCACATCCGAATACACGGTCTATACGGACTCACAGGCTGCCATTCGCGCCTTCCAGCAGCCCGAAATCCCCTCAGATATCCGAGCAGGCCTTGAAGCGGCTTTATACACGCTTCATCCTCGGACACACTTCGGTGGATCCCAGGTCATGCAGGGATTGCAGCTAATGAGCTGGTTCATAAACTTGCCCTCGAAATGCATATCCGGGCACCTGGTAAAACCTGGCATAGCCCACCGACAAGCGACGAGGCTTTGATCTACAAACGTTCAATCAAATCTCACAAAAGGCAGCTCCGCAACTCTCAGCGACGCCTACCTCGGCCCCACCATAACCTCGATGTCGCGCAAACCCAAATCATTAGAAATATCAGAACAAATACCCTTCGAACTCCCGCTAAACTCTACAACTTTCGACGCCGTACCGATCCCTCCTGCCCTATATGCCAATAAAGAACATTGCCTTTTACAGTGGCCGGTTGCTGTATCTATACCCCATTCCTTCCTAACCCCCTCCCACCACCTGTAGTGCCTGGCTACGTTAGAGCATCTAGAAGATCAAACGGCCTTGGTTTACCAAGCCATGGGCATTTTTAACACTTAATTTTTGTTGTTTATTAAGTGCACCCCCCCCCCCCCTCTCTCTTTTTTTTATCATTTTGATGTCACGGGCGTCTGGATCAACAGGGAGTGAGTGCTGATGGCTTCCAGTTATTTTGCGACGTGCATTCCACATCAACATTGTCTGCCTTGGCAGAATAAATCTAGATCTGAGTTTTTTTTGTTTTTTTTTTATAATAAAGCAATACATCAACCCTAGTTACAGGAAATAAATGAAACTTAAACAGAATAAACTATAATAGAAAATAGAAATAGCTAAGTACACCTGGAATTCATACATATCTCAGAGGGTATTGCGATGCTCGACCTACCTAATTTGAATAAGCTTTAAAAATTACGTAAACACATAGTTCACATTTTTTTTATAATTGCCTAAATTTTCTTTTTGGTCATTGGATCCTATTTATTCATTTTTGATTGGTTTAAACCTGTTATGCCATTTAACGTTGCAGGTTAAGAAACACGCATTTTTAAAAACAAATTTATATGCTCTCACTTAGAAATTGTAAAATGTAAATTGTCTTGGCAGCCTATTTTTGTGAGCTCGTATAGAGCATGCGCTCCAAACAGCGTCCTCAAATATTGCGTCCAGTGAATACCCCCTATAGACGCTTTGCATTTGTGCCAGATTATAGCCTTGCTGACCTTCTCTTGTCTTACCGAGATACCGAGGCACTGAAGAGGCCTTTGACGAGCCTTCACCAAGGCAAATGCTGGGGAGAAGGATACACTCGAATCTAAAATGGGAATAACCTGTCCTGCTGTGGTAATGATGAAGCGAAGGGATAAAAATAAGAGGAAACAAAAACTGAAGGGCGGTTATGGCGGCGCCCATGCACAGCCGCTCTAAAGCGTCTTAGACCTTTTGCGAAATTCCCCAAGCACGAAGGAGCACGCTACGAGTCTGCACGTGCACCGGCGTCTGCAGCAGTAAATGCTCCCAAGCAAAAGCCTAAAACAAAATCCATCTTGCACGTGCGTTCGTCAACGTCTTATTTTGGTTATTCACTTGTGAGCGCGTGCAACTCGTAGACCTGCATTTCCAGCATTCTCCTCGATGCTCGGGTAATTAAGAGTTGCGCCGAGGAACTGATGTAGAGGAGGAGCCGAGAGCTAGCGGGGACGTCAGGACGGCGAGCTCTGATTGGAACGATTAGTGGGTAGACCTAAAGCTATAGCTGCCTCTGTCTCCACTGCACTCGTCGGAACACGAGAGAACACGAAACGCCGGATTTTGGCTTTCGCATTCGAATGCGTTCGACTATAACGCAGTGGAGTCAAAGGCAGCCTTTGTCTCCACTGCATTTCGACTGCACTGCACCATCTCCGCTCTACTGCACTACACTGCACTGTGTTGCACTGCACCATTTGTTAGCGACGGTGTTTGGTTTACTTGATTTTATTTAATTAATTATTTTATTTTGTTTATACGAAGGTGATATGGGGCTGATCATATTATTTCAGTGGAAAAGAGTGAAAAAATACGAAACGAAAATGTGTGTGGGAAGAATGCAAAAGAAATCAGTTTTAGCAACGTACAGTTAACAAAAACAGGATATAAAGAAGGAACAAGTGTTTGACAATTCACGGGGAAGCTCTCTACTGTTTGAGGCGAAAACGTGAGTGTTAAGGAAAAATAGATATGGAGCTAAATTTCAAGAGATAGACACATATGTGCCGTATGCCACGGTGAAAGCGAGACGCTAGAACGTGTGGTTTTCAAGCGCAGGGGGATTTTGTCCTGCTCTCCCTAAAGGGGTAACCGATTTGGCGAGAGCACTGGGCTTGGCTGGCGAGGGCGAAAGAAAAAATGAACAAAGGATTATATTAAAAAAAAAAAAAAAAGTCCGTTAGAAGATTGGCAGTGAGGGTCCAAAAAAACGTGATATTAGAAAAAACAAATTGCAGCGAAGCACCGCAGGAACAGTACCGTTTTTTCTCTCGGCCTCGTCGTCCGCTCTGCCGATCGCTGTGATTGACTCTCCCAGTACCGAATGAGAAAGTGCGCGACGCCCGCAGTCAGCATCGCGAGCTGATTAACCGATCATACAAAAGTCACTCGATGGAAATGACATTAGGGAGTTCTAGAATAAGGTGCCTCCCCGCTTTTACTCCCCCGAACAGCTTGGGGCGCCGCACAGCCCATGCGGAGAACTTCTGCGCTTGCGCAATGCGACGCTCCATGCTGTTTTTGGGGACCAAAATCTTTGCAGCCCCCCCATTCTAAAACTCTCTATTAACATTGACGTGTGACAGAGGCGCATCGTGGACAACGGTGTAAGCGAGATATCGAGCTGAAGTTCGCTTTCTGCGTTGGCGCCCAACAGCAGAGAGCAAGAAAACAATAGATGAAACTGAACCGTCGAAGAAACAAGAACACACAACAGAAACCCGTCAAACGAAGGGAGAGACTGAGCAGTGCGGAGCACATATATCTTCCAACTCACAGTCACGGGCTACCAAGTGATCGACGCTTGCTTCACTAACGTCCAAGTTGGCGAATCCGTAGTAGCGCACAACGTGGCTTCAAGCTCCCCCAAAACTTGCACCGCGAGCGACGCAGAGACTCAGAAATCAGAAATCTGGGCAATCGCAAGCTTCTGTCGCCCGTATCGATGACGCCACGCAATTTTGCTTGAAACAAGAGATATCTGCTCACGATATTGGACAAACTTAGATAAGCTGGACAGGAAAGACGCCAGCTGGAATGGCTGCGAGCGAAGTGCGTTCCGTCACAACGTGTGTTCATGCGATAGACGGAACCGTGGACTCCCCGACGAACATCCCAGAGTTCTCCCACCCCCGCCGATAAGACTTCGGGGTCAAGCCAGCATGCAGTTTGCACGCGCAGTCAAAACACAGGGTAAAGGCCGGTTTACTCACTTGCGACAGGTTACGCCCAAGTGCTTCAAAGGCGCACTGACAAGTCAAAATCTTTTTTTTTTTAATTATCCGAAGCGATTGAAAACCGATGCCTGGACATTACCCTTAAAATCCGAAACTTGAAAACTCAATATTTGTGAAGTAAAAAAAAAAAAAAAAAAATTCCAAAAGCCGATTTTGAAGTTTCCGCGCGATTCGCGCCAGTCCAGTGACGTCAAAGGTTGTGCCGTCCTGCAACTCGAGTTTCTCTCACGCCACCGAACCGTCCCGACCCGGTGTCGTGTTCGCCCGTGTCCCGCGATCAACAGCTCTTCTCCGTGCGTGACGCCTATCGCCGTGAGCAGACGACGCTTAACTTTCGCGTTACAACTTATTTTAGGGCCCTTTCAGCGATATCGAAATCTTTGAAACGGCGAGAGGTTGAAGAGAACGCGCAGTAGACTTTTGTGAGCGACGTGAGGGGCCAGGTCGCGCCGGTTCTGCGTGAAAGGCTGCCCCGGCAGAGTTACAAACGAAACTACGGTACACAGACACCAAAAGCAGTTGTTTTGACTGTTCGACGATTTCCTTTTCAATTTCCTTTCCTTTACTGAAGCTTTTCATTTTTTAAACCATGAACTATTATTGAACAAGCTGGAAATATTATGGAATTCGTGGAGAAGCTTTAACTCTTCTTGGATCCTATATTCAATTGTGGAAATTTCATTTCCACAATAAAAACGGTAATATCCGGTGTACCTCAAGGCAGCATTTTAGGGCCTTTTCTTTTTAATACTTATGTGAATGATATCGTGAACATTGACCAGACCACTAAATTTGTTATATATGCTGACGATGCGACGCTTCTTTTTACTGCTGATGAGGCACATCAACTTACATCTATGGCCAACACAGTACTACATAAACTAGGAATATGGACCGATAGAGACTCTTTAAAAATATATACCAATAAAACAAAAGTCATGATATTTAGGCCGAAAAATAAAGTTATTTCTCCATCAGAACGCATTTATATAAACTCAGTAAATATTGAATAGGTTGACTCATTCAAAACGCTTGGAGTTGTTTTCACAAAACATGTCATGGGACCATCAAATTGAGTACTTAAAAAATAAATTAGCAAAAGTTGTAAATCTGGTATATCAGAATCCATATATATTTTCGAGCTCAGCGTTCGCAATCGCGTTAAAAATATGTTTTACGAACGTCGTTATTAAATATTAAAGAAATTTCGTTTAGAAAGCTTCTAAATTTCATAATCGATTACGCCACAAACAAAATGCAGCAAGCAGGTGAGGAGAGGGAGACAAAAATGCCCAAGATAAAAAGGCGCGCGCGCGCGCGTATAAAAAAATGTTTTGCGTTTTTTTTTTTTTTTTTTTGCGTGCCTAGCTATATTGCACATTTGCATCGTTTTAAACAACAGCGACACACGAAAAAAGCGACCTTTGGGGTGTCAGTGCCCCTCAACGTTACTAGAACATCTCAGTTGGGAAACTGCCATAGAGCCTGCTTTAAAAAAAGTCGCTCCAATCCGTACTCGAGAACCGAGCTAATGGCGATCGCAACGCCGCCATTTCTCCCGCAGCGTCCACTCCGGGAACTGCCCGGCTGCACGTCGAGTCGGGCAAGGGCCGGTGGCGCCATCTCGCAGGGCCATCTCGCAGGGTCATTCGCAGGGCCATCTCGCAGTAGCCATGTAAAGCAGCTTTCACGTTTCAACTCGCCGCTAAAGAGTGGCGCTGTTATCATATTTAGCTCGGTCTCGGTGGACGCCAGCGGTCCAGGTATCAAGGGTGAGTTCCCAACTGAGCGTTAAGCAACGTTGGTGCCCCCCTTTAAAGCCTCTTGGGATCTCTTACGACGGATGGATGGATACGGCTAAACCCTTTAAATCGGTCGGCGGACCGCGACAACTAGCTAGACACACTTGCGCCATCTATTGGGCAGTCGTGAACCGCTTGGCACATCCATATATTTCCTTTTTTTTTTTTTTTTGTTTCAGCCTTTCTTTGTTCACAAAACTAGCTCGAAGAACGGCGGACCCCTATACCTTTGCAGGCGCCCAGCTTTGCATCGGGTACAGCAGCGGCCGTCGAAGGCTTCGTTTCCTCTACGTTCGACGGCATGAGTGCGGCACTGGCTAGGTATACACTCCGTGCGGACAGCTGCTCGGTTGACTGAAAACTCGGTTCTTCGGCGACTTTATTCCCCATGTGCTTCGAGCGATCGGAACGGAAGCCTGCACGCCTGGATATGTTTCCGCCTTCCGAGAAACGAAACGCCACGGATGCATCATCCTCGTTAGCTGTTGTTGAACGCAACTCGAGATACACCGACGGAATCCGAGAGGGGAAAAACGTGCCTCTTGTTAACTATGCCGCGTCACAAAGATTGTGAATTCCATGTGCTTCCGTGTGGCCTTCTTATTGACAGTTTAAATAGAAAACATAAAAATAAAGATACATTTTTATATCCCCGACAGCAAAATGAACATTGCAGGCAATTTAAAAAACGACTATTGAGATTAACCTGCTTTACAATTGCAAAAATATGTAAAAAAAAAGGCTTTTGTAAAAGAAAAAAAAAAAGAGAAAAAAAGAAAAACAAATGTTGCCTTTGCAGATGCAGCTCACCTTTTTTAGAGCGCGACGATCGAATCGAGGGTTCGGAACGTAGTACTTTTGGAACTTAGTACATTGAGAAATTCGAACGTTTTCGCCTTTCCAGGTTACTACGTCTAAAAACGGGGAAATTCTCCACGCGAAAACTTATCAAGACCAAGCCAAACGGTTTGGAAGCTTCGAAACTTTACGAACTTACTACGTTGAGAAATTCGACGATTTTCAAACTTTAGAACTGATTGCGTTTAAATGTTTGACGATTCTCCGACTTCAGAATTTAATGCGTGGCGAAATTCGACAATTTTCGACCTTTTGGAGTACAAAACACGGGTGAACTTGGACCACTGAATAAGCTTCGAAGATAAATTGAATTTATCCAAAGACTTGTTTCAATCGAAACTTACTTGACCTGTTTTAAATAATTAGCAACTAGCATAAGCATAGCAGACCATGCTTATGCTGGAATGAGAAAGATGCGCGAAAGGCAAAAAAAAAAGGTGATATAATAGCCAGAGCACGATAGTTGTCTTTGAAGACCTACTTCGAAAAGTGACAGAAATTTGAGAAAAATTGGAAATGATCAAGTTAGAAACGAAAATTGTAACTGCCGAACTCAAATTTTCAGAAACCTCGAAAGCTTCAAACTTCGCGAATTCGAACCTCAACGTGGTTTGAAGTGTTCGCAATCGACCTGGAACCTCAGGAGATCAGCAGCTGCTCTATTACTTTTTCAACAACGTGCGTTAAAGGGACCATAAAACAATTTTGAAACCGAATTTCATCCACCGCACGCCGTAAAAGGTGTGAAAAGAAAACCAAAACAGAAAAATAAAGAGCAAAAACACAAAAAAAAAAATCGCTATAGAACTTTTTTAGCAAAAGCGGACTCTTTTATACCTTCTTTTCTCCGAAAGCTAGCTCTCTGCCTTTTCACAGCAATGCATCCGCGGTGCCACAGCACGTCAGTCAAATTCACATCGTCTATTGGATCAGAGCCTACCTCATACACAATAATTTGCCCTCGAATGTTTCTTAAAAGTTTTGTTGAAGAATACTTTGAGCCACATTTTGTTGAATAATTAGCGATGTGATGTAAATCGCCAAATATTCTAATGTTCGAAGCTATGCGCCATCTATCGTGTGGTAAGCGAAGCGAGAGAAATAATTAATAATCGGGGTTGCGCGGATATTTACACAGCGTGTTGGTCAGCCATTTCAAAGTTGTGACAGGTCACTCGTGGTAGATGAACAATTTAGCCAGTGCAGTAGAACCGCTAGCCTGGGGTCTTTAACGTGCACCACGCAGTAGTGATACACGACCGCACGCCGGAGCGATGCTCATCCAGTTCGAAAAGCAGGGTTGGGATTGAGCCAAGGATCCCTGGGCATGGTACCCTGGGTTCTGCAGCACGAGCTTCCGCTCCACGTGCTCCCAGCTGGTGTGCGCCAGCCAACCCGGACACCGATCCCCCTATTTCGTGCAAGACAAAGAAGAACTTCATACCAGTCATGCAGGAAAACATGCCAATTGGTCCCGGGGGACGTGCACCCGCTGTTTCTGCTGTGCCATCTCGGGGAAGCACGCTCAAGACAAACGCGGAGGAAATCAAGAACGCCGAGCAGTCTTTGACAGAGCTGAGAGCAAGTAGGATGACATCGAGAGAATTACGTGCTTCGTCAAAGTGTTGATTCTAACTCTGTCTCGTTCTCCCGCCTTGCTCCTGCTGTCCTGTTTCCTGGCACCGGCAGAACTTAGACAGAGCGGAGCTCCTAGGTGTGAGAACTCTATTTACTTTCTCCGGGCAAGCGGTGAGCGAGAATACCACAATATATATATCAGTGTGTGAAACCGAAAAAAATACGGGTTCGGTTACGGTTCAGGTTCAGGTAAATTTATTTTGTTCCGGTTCAGTTCCGGTTCGATTAATTCGATCCGCGAACCGGTTCGCGAACCGGTTCGCAAATTATAAATGACAAATTGCAACATCAAAAGAATTTACAAATAAAACATCTGAAATCAGCACATACGAAACGGGATACATCGTAGTGTAAGGCTCAGGGATTTCTACCAGGAATG